TATATACGGGTATTTCGTATTTTAACTATCCGGTTAACCGGATAGTTACTGCTAATTTCAGAGAACCGATTTTACAAGATTTTTGCGGCGAATTGACTAAAAATCACCACGCAGTTCTATTGTAAATACGTACATATGTATTATTTTTTCTCGAATAAAAATGATTGTGCATTTTGATGTTGAATGTGTCAATAAATAAAAATTTAAGCTCTGTAATCGTACAGAATTGCAGCTGAATAATATAGTGAAACATTGTTTCAAATACTGTGTCCTAATTGTCTTTCCCTCGACTGCTAAGTTATTTTCTCATATTCAAATGAGAAACTTTCTTTATTACTTATCGATCTTAAGATCGGTAAGTATATTGATAGGTATTTGTCTGTCTGTCTGTCTGTCTGTGTGTCTGTGTGTGTGTCTGTTAGATGCACGCGATATCTCACGAAAGCGAGATTGAATCTGCTCCAGATTTTGCATGTGCATTCATCTTATCTCGGACCAGAAGCCTACTGATTTTGGGCGAATTATGCCGTATAATTAGCGAGTTATCGATCAATTATTGATATAGTGATCTAGATTTTTGTAAAGCGAGAGAATTTTGAAACCCGCCGAGTGTGTGTGTGCGATGCGCAGTGCGCAAGTTACAAGAGCGGATGAATCGAAACTGCAGTTTCTGTTTGGGGGGATCCCCTAACTATCGATCGATAAGTCTTCGGTTTCCAACCGATATTCTCGTATTTTTACTCGTACTAAATTTTGGTGTCGCAGACTCACGATGACCATTTCTTTAAGCTTTTAAGTTCAATTAGTTTAACATACACCTGACTTAGATAGAATAGATTTATTTCGGCTAGAATATCTATTGATTCGATTGATACAAAGAAATTTGAAAAAACATATATACCAAAGTTAAAAGCAAGCACGGTTGTGTACCCAAAATTTCAAAATGCTACACAGATTACATGGAATCGGAAGTATTGTGAAATAAGTCCTCGAAATTAAAACTGGTTTACTTCATGATGAAATGCGTTCCTTCAATACACGCAACAACTAAAAGCCACACCCGACAAAAAAGCAACAAACTCACACCCATCCAACCAATACTTTTCAACTGAATTCGCAGTTAGTCTTGCTTAAACTGTACCTCCAGTTCAAATCTAACTTTATAAAGAAATGAGCTCTTCTAATAAGCGCAATAATCACATTTGTTCTGCGTGTTTTGTGATGTAATAGTGAAGTTCACTCCAGCATTCCACGGATGGCTAAAATATATATAGGCAGATTAAAGTGGAAAAAGTTGTTATTATATGCTCTGGGAGATGTCAGTCGCCACTCAACAAAAAAATATAAAAATCGCTAGCCGTGCATATGTATTCTTTATACTGCTCTATTATCCGGTTAACCTTCACAATAATATCCGGATATCAGATAGCAAAATAACTCTTGGTTAACCGGTTAACCGCTATCCGGATAATCCAACCCTACTTGAACATATATGCAACACGCCGCGGTTTCTTGGAAGCAAAATGCTCAATAACGCGCTGATTAAAGTCATGCATCCCAGAAATACCGTCTCTGTGAATGGATAAATCAGCCAAGGAATTTAATCTATCTTGCTTCATTGTGTTTCTGAGATACGTTTTAATACCGCGCGTTTAGAAACCGCGCGTCCTCCATCCAACTGTGCTGCAATATTAACATTTCCGAATGTTCGGTATTTTACAGCATTGTCCAGATGCTCCATAGAAGATTGATGATCCCTGGCACGCTCGGAAAGATGTTTAAGATCTCTAAAACCAAATTTACACCAACGTGAGTCACGGGCGGTAGCAAAAAGGTGGCAATAAAAACAAAAAAGTGCATTTTTGTCCTCGCTGTAACACAACCATTCGTGTTTTTCATACCAAGTTTCTGCGCAGAATGTACGCCGACGCTTTCCTCCGTCATGGGATTGTTTCAGTGAACAATTTTTTGGTTGATAAGGCCCAAGACGTTGTACCTCTAATTTTTGTTCCAGCGGCAGCTGCGAAAACGGAGTGCGAAGTAGTGCATCAACCTTATTCATTATGAGGTCTAAGGCTAAGAAATGCGAAGCCGGAAAGAAGTGAGGAGCTCAAAAGGAATGTGGAAAATCGAAAGCAAATGGACTAAAGGTCTCTAACTGATTCAAATAGCAAAACAAGCGACAAAAACGAAGGCGAGGAACTATCAACTCTTCAAGCAACCAACGAACGAGAAGGAATGCGTGAATATGTCAACACGTTGTTGTAAGAAACGGTCGGCATTGTGTCGTCATAAATTTCGGGGCTAGCCCCGATCGGCCCCGATGATTTAGTAAAAGAAACAGAAAACAAACGAGACAAACGCGGCGAGTGGAAGATTAAAAGAGGGAATACGATATACAATGAGCAACCGGGGCAAAATCGGCGTCGCCCCGTCGACGTTCGGCGAAGGCTTTGCGAGCGAAAAATGAACCATGTCGGGAGAATATGGCTAGTGTAGACAGTCTGTGCAACCGATATTGAGGTATTTTTCGAATATTTTTTATTATACCGAAAAAACAACCGGGGAATTGCCCCGGTTGGCCCTATTGACGCGCCGCCACTGCATTGATGGTTGTCTCATATCGGAATGTCTTGAACCTGGAAAAAGTTCTGTAATAAACGGGAAAAAATATTCGAAGTCGCTTTTAGGTTCTCCATCAACAAATGTGTTAAATATTCAATTTGTTAGAACGGTAATAAGCAATATCAGTAATAAGATTTAAATCATGTATTGAGATTTTGGCTCAATTAAAAATAATATTACAAGAAGCTTCCTTTCCATAATGTGGAAATTGTATTCGCGATTTTCCATTTTAAACAAGAGAGCAATGCGTCAAATATTTGGGCACAAAGGGCAAAACGAAATATTTCACCCACAATCACCCCTAAAACCACAGCCTGACGAAGCTGAAACTCTGGACCATCGTAACTTACTAGTATCTGTACCCGGACTGCCCAAGCTTTTCCCGGTAGCCTACTGTGACATTGATTATTCCTGCGTCTTCTGCAAGCGAGAATTTAAAGGCTTAATCATATGATTCACACCTGCAGTATTAAATCATTGACAGTACTTTACTTTTTAGAGTAACTTACAGTACCATGCCTACCTACAAACTCACAGTGCGACACCGATATCAAAAACTTTCCACTTTCGCGTCGCATGATTTTCTAATCGAAACGCAAGACAGACGTCCCGCTTGGCGGAATAAAAACCGTTTTCCCGTGGATAAAATATATTCAATGATATTGAAGTAATAGCATTCTATGACAACAATAATATTAAATCAATTAAAATTTCAGTGGCAGTGATATCCTGTAGGGATATACTTGTAAGCTGCTGGTTTTCAAATACCAAAAGTATAACTATATAAAGTTAGTTACTGATTGAATATTGAACCACAAGTAATTTATCACGAGGAACAATAACAACAGTATCTCAAGTGTAGCTAATTTCCACGGTGACCGTACATTTGAACCCATGTACATTTGAACCCATGCGTATATCCACGGGTTCAATCTATATGCGGGTGCTAAAACCCATGGGTTAGGGTTAGTATGGGTTTAACTATCCGTGAAACAAAAAAAATTTCATAGGTGCAATAGCATACAGGTGCAATTGTCATGGGTTCAAATGTACGTGGGTTCAAATGTAATGGAACCAATTTCCACACGATGCCAAATGGTGAACTCCAATCCAATTTGTCACCAGGTAAATTTGAAATACTGATACAAAAAAGAAATTTGGATAGTCTCGTAAATCAAAAATCCCGAATTTATCAATGATTGTCGGCGAATCTGATATGAATTTTATTTTCCCTTTGAGTGAGTCTACATTGGTACCAGGTGGCTCAACTCCACCTTTGACCGCGACGTGGCGAGATGCAATAAGAAACGGTGTATGCCAGATTCAATGACAATCAATATTCCTCGGTGATGATTTGCACAAGTGAGGTCATAAACCACGCCTTATTTTAAAAAGTTGTAGAGTTCATCCAAATTTTTGTGATATTAACGCTGCGGTTAGTATAGGCAAACTGTAGCTTATAATCCTATAAACAGTTTAGAGAAATTAAAAGCACTCCATGTAATATGTGTTAATAGGGCATTATGAAATATATAAATATACGACAAGATTGTTTCATGAGAATGAGGCGATTGATGGAATAATGTTGTCACGTTTTTTCATTGTGTGTTATATTCTTGGTGAAACTGTTGAATAGATTCAGCAATTTCAGGAGTGTTTATACGTACAAGATGTATATTTCAACAAACCTCTCAATGAAAAAACGAGAAAATTGCTCAGAAGAAACTAATGCTCTTACTTTTAGCTAATATATTAATAAGATATCTATGACATTCTGATAAAATATTAGGAAAATAGAAAGAAACGTGATTATTTCAATGTACGAGTTATCCTTTGTGGGTAAACAAACAGATATCAACAAACAAATTCATCATTTTATGACAACCCTGTTTATTATGCCATAATCACCACTTTAAATATCTTCAATACAGGATGGGTTGTGTAAGATTAGGAAACCTCAGAACCAAAATAACGATGTCAGTTGCTCGACAGCTAGATAACAAAAGCTGATGATCAAGAACTACGCCATGAACCTTTCAACGAATAATCAACTCTTTTTTCAATCAAATGAGAGAAATTGACACAGCCTCTGATTGGCCCACGAATATATGCGCTATTTTTCGTCTATATTAAATCTTCCCATCGTCTGTCTTGATCACTAATATTGGATCATCTTAATGGATATTTTTAATAATAAACGCCGGTCATCTAGTTAGTTCAAGTTTACTGGAAAAAGTTGATGATATTTAGCTAACGAGATTCGAAAAAGATATCAAATTTATTGTTGATTTCGTTTTCAATCGTGGTTATGTTTCGTGGTTATGTAATTGTATACTTATGTTTCAATAAAAGTTTGTGTAAAAATATATCAAATAATGAAGATTGTAATCTTTGTTCTCCTGATTGTTGGAGTCAGCGGATACAAAAAGAAGAAAGAAGTCAATCTTGAAGATTTCTATGCTAAATTCGATCCTGAGGTATGTTGGTATGATGTATATGTTTCGCACTCATACTCAAGTGCTATATTGCGCAAGACTAAAATAATGAGTATATCACGACGATTATTCAAATTCCACTCTCAGAAAAGTAGACCTAAAATCTACTATTTATCTTCTTCACATTGAAATGTCATTTTAAGATCTACGTCTACTCTGCTGCAAGAAAGTTTGATTTCCCGAAAGAAAATGGAATCCATTTTAAAAATACTCCAGATTGCGGAGATTTCAAGTAATTTGTATTTATTTTAAAATTATTCCATATTTTTACTGAACCGATGATGAAATAATTTCATGCACAGAAAATTCCCCAACCCGAAAGATTCATGTCCTGCTCCAAAACGCATCGGCTACAGCGGTGACTTGGTTTCTGATTGCAAGGAAAGAAAATGTATTCAGAAATCCTCCTACGGTTCAACAAAATGCAGAAAAGTGGTTCGATTATTTAAGCCTTTCCCTCACACTGCAGTTGAATGCAAGTAAGTTGCTTGGTCATTCAATTATGTAATGTTTGATTCAACATTGAGAGAGCATTTTATAAAATTGATATGCGCCGCTTTGAATACACAAAATTATCAATGTAAAAATTGTTTTTAACAAAATATCTCTGATATTAAAAATTTAAAAGTTAACGCCAGGGCAACAAATTATCCTGGTTATACATCTTAAAAAAGTAATGTTTCCGGGGCATTATAATTTAAGAAAATTATAAGTTTGTCGTAATTGCATTTTTCATCTTAAATATATTAAATTATATTTATGTTTTTACGCCACGCATGAATTTTCACATTTTGAGATATAGTTGTATTAACTTTAATTTTGAAAAAATCAATTTTTAAGGGAAATGCTTGCAAGCTGTAAATTGGTAAAACCCCATGATGACAAAAAGTTGTACCCGGAACCCTCAAAAGATGGGAAACCACATTTGTATCCGGAACCCATGAAAGATGAAGAACCACATCTGTATCCCAAGCCAGAGAAAGATGAAAATAGTGAAGAGATCTCCTGTAAATGCTACACTATATGGTGCTTCCGTGACATATACACAATCTACGAGGAGAACGGAAAGTTTTACAAAGGAGATGTTGTTATAAAGGTATGTTGTTATGGTAACTGATTAGTTCAATGTTGTATAATCCAGTTTACAAGAGCGGTATGTTATTAGTATGCAAATGAACTTCTGTTCACCTTTTTAAGCATATCGGATCCCACAATATTCTAGATCAGGCCTACTCAACTGGCGGACCGCGGTCCGAATCCCGACTTTTCGGGTATTGAATGTAACGTTTCTTTTGTATTTCACAATAGTGATATAATGCATTTTTGCTAAACCACTGAGAATAAAAATTGTCATAGCAATATGAGTTTCTCAGATAATCGACTCACTTGTTTATTGTCCTAGCATTCGCTGATCAGCAGGATGACAATAGTGGTGTGAAAAATGAAATTTTAGCGGCCTTTTAGATACATTTTTCACATATTTTTAGACATGGTGGTAAACATTAGCTTGTTCTTGTGTCTTCGCGTGCTATTTGTCAATCTATTTTTGAAATTTGAAAGTAGATCAAATAACTCAATTTCGCAAAATAGTATACTCTCACTTTATACAACCAAGATTGAAATAATTGGCAAAAATGAAGAAATGTAATTTCCCAGACTAACGATTGAGAAAAAACTTTGCTATCGGACACGAAGTTGACTAATGAATTGTTTTGCTAAAATTCTTGTGGACGTTGTGGTTTTTCTTAATTAATATTCGTTGAAAAAATCGGAAAATTTTCTCAGCAACAATATATTTCAAATTTTCAGTCTTCAAGATAATTCAAGTCGCTGGAAGACTTTTGAATATATTCATTTTACGGGTGCTATGGGGGCGAAAATTTCCCATCTTTTCAGCAAATTCGGCAATCAGCTACATAGCTGAAACCTTGTGATACCGACACCGAAGCGCGATATTGAGCATTGCTCGTGTATTTTGTCAAACGATACATTTGAAATTTTATGTGCATTATAGTTGAAACAAATTTTTTGGAATGGCAGGATCCCGGTAATTTTTAAATTTTGTGTACAGACCATTGGTGAAAATAGTGGAGTAGCTTTGATCTAGTATAGATCATTGATCACCATCATTAAATCAATGATTTCCAAGTCAATACCCACGATTGTTTACATGATGTTATGCCAACATATCAACACGTTGATTTCAAATTAAATATCGAAGATTTATTTATCAATAAGCCAAAAAATTTAAAGCATGGCAGACATTTTTTTCAGAGTGCTAATTAAGATTCGAATCGTTTGCTTTCAATGTATTCTATTGCGAGCTGTAACTACGCTTGTCCAATGCCAGTTTTTCTTAAGTATTTTATTTTAATAATAATACCGAAGTGACCAAATATTAATTTCCAGACACCGTGTGGATGCGACTGCAGGAATGGTAATTGTACCTATGGCGGATGAAAAGGATGAATTTTTCAATGAAATAGACAAGTTTTATGAATATTTCTCCATTTACAGAATTAAAATAAATGATTTGAATTACATGTGGATTATAATAAATGTACTAATGAGTCTCGTCTTATTTACGTCAGATGATTAATCAGAAAATCAATATCGGTACCTTGCCTGTGGCGTTGTCAGAGAAAAATATTTGTCGGTTGAAGAACGCATGCTGTTGTCGCAAAATATTAATAAAAAAAAACTGAAGCAGCGTAAAAGATTCTATACAGTGCCCCTAGCACTGGGCGCAATAGTCGTCCATTCCCACTATAGCTTTGAGGGAATGGCATAATTTTGGAACAGCTTCACAAAATGTATACTATCAATGCTGAAGGAATTAGGTTTAAGACTTTTTATTTACAAAAACAGATATCTATAGAGTAGATGAACAATTTCATAATCAAGATCTTGTTAAAATTTGTTCTAACAATACTGCAAACAAAAGAATGGGCCATATCAAAAGCGACATATAGAAGACAATAGAAAAATAGTACGAGGCATTTGAATAGCAGAACAGATTTGTGAATGAAAACCAACCGATGTTAGTAGCTGAAAGGTAGTTACTAGACGTTATCGAATGCTGGATAAATTGTAGCATTTGCCCAAATAAATATGCATAAGTTAGGTGAATGTATGAACGAACGAAAGGACGCGACAATTTCGCAATCATCTTACTTATGGCAAGCTTGCTTTCATCGAATCTTCACAAGTTTTGTTTGTGTCTGAGAAAAATTTCTCTGTTTCATCAGTGAAAATTTTATTTGCGATACCTTTTCGTGACAAATTGTTTCAGTATAAACATGGTATTTTTCCCTGTGTAATAATCCATACGCTCGTATATTAATCTAGTTTTGCGTTAACTGCATATATGATTCATAATCATATAATGATTCCCAACTGCACACTTCTATGATCTGACCGGAACTTGTTTTTTTTTCTCATAATAAAAACGCGAAATGAAATGGTTGAATTTACAATTTTATCATTACAATAGAATAAAATATGAACGTGGTAAAGTGGAATAACGGGGGGAATTTTTGTTTTCTTTTAACAGTTTGTTGTACCGGACTCTTGATGTTAAATAACACGATAAAATGCATAGTTGACATCGTACTATTTTAGTTTTTTTCTGAAAAAATCTCAAACACGACGCCGGCGCAAAAAATGCTTTGCAGGCCGCGTGTTGGGGACCTCTGCCCTAGTGGGTCAACGCATCATCTTTTGATAAATCGTTCTGACAATCTGTCCTCGCAAGTCATTAACTCGGAATTATTTATGACTAGTGTCAACCGATATCTACTTCCATAACACAAAAAATAATGGCGGTGCTTCTGAAGTATGCGTACCGGTGGACACGTAGTATGTGTACCAGGTTAGGCCATGATTTTATTCCATTTTTTTCTTTGTTTTTATTACGAGTTCGGGGACTAACCAAGTGACTCCCGTGGTATTTGCACCTACAATTATGGCCTAACCTAACCTGGTACACATACTACGATCTGGTGTCCGCCATCTTAGTACGCATACTTCGGGAGTACCATTAAGTCATACACTGATGGTTGTCTCATATCAAAATGTCTTGCAGCTAGAAAAGATTCTGTAATACACACTAAAAAATACAAGTTGTTTTTATGCTTCTCTATCAACAAATTTGGTAATTATTAAATGGTTAGAATTGCAATATCACCATAAATTTGTGTCCGTGGTATTGCATCTGGCAAATAACGGTGAAAAAACATGAAAAAAATATATTTTTTTTGATTTTTATCATCTCGTAAAACAGTAAATGCAAATTAATTTTTTTTGATATGCTGTTTATCTGCAGTTAACTATCCTAATTTATTGTATGAGTACAAACCCGTAAGTCAAGGTATTATCATCTGAAATAAAATGACCACGTCATCCTGTTTATTATGCGATATACAATACTGTATTTTACATCGAGTATTCACGGGATTACAAAACCGCAAGTACGCTCTAGTCTAGACTAGAGTCTAGCGCAGTGGTTCTCAAACTTTTTCAGTCCCAGAGCCAAATTTCTAACCTCAAAGTTTGTGAAGAGCCGCACACGAACAACGCACATAACAACTAGGGTTGGGCAAAATATTCGAATAACGAATCGAATAATAAAATATTCGAAAGCCATTTTACCATTAGAATATCCGGTACCACTTGATCTGCGCCGCTCTGCTTGGACACCGAACTCGCGCGTATCCAATTCAGTCGTGAAATGTGCGAGATTTCCCCACGGCGCTCGCTATCAGAAAAAAAGCGACAAATTTGAAAAGTCCGTTGTCTTTGCGTTATGCTGTTTTATGCTTTGCCTTTAACGTATCATTTCAATTCTATATTTTGCAAAAAAACGTACCGACCGTTCCGTAAATTTAGAAATGTCAAACCAGATTAGGTATTTAAAATAAATTCCCCAGATTTTAAACTCCGCATGCTTAGTAACATGTCATTAGTCATTTCTTGCATGACCCGAACATAAAATTGAATAAAATTAAATGTTAAAATGACTTTTCGACGCGTTTCATTGTGAAAAAGGCGATTTTAAGTGGTTAGAAAACTGGAGTTATATAAATAGCATGGATTTCAAAATGACCAGTCAAAGTTTTTTCAGAAGCTGGTATGTATGAAAAACACTTGCGTGTCCTTATTTTGTCTTATTTGGACTTCATAAAGGAAGCGTTGTGTTGTTTGTCAAAAGCTTTATTGTGGCATCATTTATTTAATCGCTATTTTAAATCATCATTCGGGATTCACGCAATCGCAAATTTGCGAGGTTTATCTATTTAATACTAAAATAACACGAACACCATAGAAAAGCACGATAAACTCAAAAACTCAATTATCATTTTAACAAATATCTGCATCTCGGTTACCGTTCACTTTAAAGGTTGCAAGTCAATGGCGGGCTGCACATATTTTTAAAAATTTAAAGGAATGACCAATGAATCACATTTTTTCACACAGATTTCAGTTAAGTTTCAAGCAGTGCGCGAAGACTGATCATTTGAATATTTTCTGCGTCATTGAACCATTTGTACTCAGCATCAACTTTTTTACGCTCTGTTGCCATTTGTCTAATTATATTCAATTATGGTCTGATTTAACGAGTGATTGTGAATTATATACTTGTTGGGTTATAATATAATTTAGTGTCTCAAAACAAGTTCTGTCACGTAAAGAATATAATCGTCAATACAGCTGTTTTGTTATTATAATTCAGTGAAGCGTCGCGAGCCGGATGATATTGCTCCGCCGTAGTTTGCCGACCCCTGTTGTAGGCTAATCAAATCTTAGATTCGAGGCTTGCATGACACTGCTCAAAAACTAATTTAACATTTTTGTTGCAATGATGTTTATTAAGCGTATATTTATGTAAGATTGAATAGAGATACTAATAAAAGAAAATGAAAAAGTTTTTTTGCAGACTAAAAGCAAATCGATTTTAACAACTACTTTCAAACTATGAAAATCTGAAATTAGTGGATTACAAAACATTATTCAATCAGTCAATTACAATAACAACGCACCTTAATGACAAAATCTTTTTCGTATAGCTTCCCGTTTTGTTCGTAGATCACGGAAGCACCAAGTAGTGAAGCACTTGCAAGATACGTCTTCAGAGTCATCATTTTTATTTCTGGTCCAGGATTGAAATCTAATTTTTTGATGTTTGAGGGATCCGGATACAAATCTGATTTCTCGTCTTCTGGGGGTCCCGGGTATAACTCTTTGTCATCGTGAAGTTTTACAAACTTACAGCTTTAATTCTTGGTTCTATTAAATTCATTTTTATGAAGACTCATGTTAACGCAAATGTATTTTGAAGGCATAGGGATTGGTAAATTCGAACATAAAAGGGACTAGTATGCGGATGATGCAACTTTTGTTGCATCCCATGCATACTCGGTTGATGCTATATTCATAGAATTGGGTCTTTTTCGTTCTTCCACAGGTAAGGCAATTAATAAAAATAGAACAGAGATCTTTTGTACAAACCAACAAGCCAGAGATCTAATATCTTTCTCGGTCCATAACTGGTTTGTAGAAGACTCTGTAAAAATTTTAGGCATTTAATTTGGTAAAGACCAAGTAGCCAAAAATTGGCAAAGAAAATTTATACTATTAATAAAATAATTAATCTTAGTAAAACTCGGTCTCTCTTCTGGTATGGCAAGATTGCAGTAATAAATTCGCTCATCTTGTCACAGGTCCTGTATAAAGCAAGGTCGGTTGCAATACCGTCCCAAAATTATACAGGCAATTGAAAGATCCATTTTTTCTTTGGTTTTTTGGACCAATGGAGATTGTTGGAGGACCAATGAAGGGCATTATTAGTCTTAGGACTAAAATTTCTGCTTGCCAAGTTGAAAAAATGAAACATCTGGTCTCTCGTTCTATTCCATATTTTTGAAGTTCCATCTCTACCTGAACCTTGGTTGATGAGGTTTAATCGTTTTAAAAGAATAGGCTTTTCAACCGATGAACGGAAATCCTCCAATTTACGTAATATCCATTATAGACTCCTTGGGGAAAGGACAAAACATCTTCCAACTGATGTCGACTGAGAATGCGTCCATCTTCTCAGTCGACATCCACGAAGACACTTTAGTTACCATGAACTTGAGACCTCATATGGGGTTTTGCGGAACGGTTTTCTTTGCGGACAACGGCAGAAGTAGCAACCATTTACAATTATTAGTTATCTTGCAAGAACTGTATTATTTTGTCTACAACACTCATAGAAAATTACATCGACTCAAATAGAAAACAAAAACCATGCTGTGTAATATCGTAGGTCCAACATAAAAAACATGCGCATGCAAAAGTCGGAATGTGAATTCAAAAAAGTCCTTATACAAGTATGTCAATTATTGTTGGATAAGCTAAACATTACCAGCCAAACAGGTCCTGCGCACATGTTATAGTATCCGATATACTGTATAACTAATTGAAATTTGAAGTAGGTAAAAACAGCTCTCTGTTGGCAATAATTAGTATGGAAAGGAACAATACCAATATTATAACTGTTCAACACTTCCATAGAAATACGTATGTGCAAGTAAAGTGTGCTTTAACTTTCTGACGTGGTCTATCAACAAGATTTTTATTCGTTTATTTTTATTTTTTTTGGTGGGGGGGCGACCCCCCCTAATTGTGTTTGAACTATCAGAACATTGTAGCCTATTACATACAAAAAAGTATGATAATCAATAATAATTTTTAATATTTGGATACTAAGTAGGACTAGACATGCCGGAAGTATAACATAGGAAATGCTGGATCACAGATTTATTCATGGAAGGTATGAACAAATTGGAATTACTCCTTCGATTGTCAATATGTCGTCAAAGCAGTTTGGTAGTGAATTGTTATGAAATTAATAAACTATAGATAATACTTCAAATTTCATCATATCTTGAACTTTGAGTATATATATATTATATAGCATTTTAAAATAATAGTAGACCTATATACTTTCACACTTACTACTTACTTGAATTATTCTTAAAAAAAATTATTACGAATACAAATATTTTCGAGTCAAATGTTTCATTCCCCTGACGCTAGACTGAGCAGCAGTTTTAGATGTGGCCGAGTAGTATCGATTGAAACATTGATAGTGCTAGAGAGACTGATTGATTGACTTAAATATTTCGAAAGCAACTCTGAATTTTTATTTTATTTTACCATTACCAAAGCTAAGAATTTTATTTCGGCCACTCGTTCACTTTCACAAGTAGCAATGGTTTTTGTATAACCGTAAATATATGTATGACCCACACTTTTATTTTTGTTCGGGTGGACTAATATATAAATTTAGTCCTGTTGGCATTAGGAGATAATTTAAAATTCAACATCCAGCTATGAATGTTGGTCAGTTGTTGCTTTGCAACTGGGAAAAAAAATGTAAATAGACTGGACCCTCCCGGTTTTGCCGTAGCGAATCAAGTTAGTTCCGTCCATAGGCGTAGTCAGGGGGGCAAGAGGAGCCATGGGCCCCCCAAAAAATTTTTCGAAAATTCTATCCTTAATCCACCAGTTTTGTGGCAATCTTGTCTCGTCACGCTTGCTGGTTGTCATTGTTACGTCACAAACACTTGGTCGTCGCTCTTATTAGAACCTTTTCGTTAGCTTTCGGTCAGTCACTCGGTCTTGGTTTGTTCTCGCTGGTTTTATATTCGAAACGCTTGGATTTTGATGACCAAATTACTTCGATGGCTAAATTTAAACAGGCAAAATGCGATAGTTTTTTTCAGCGAAATAAAGAGTCGCTTCCCTCAGAAACATCAATAAGCGCTACTCAGGCTGTGGATGCACCTGTTACGTCAGTTACGTCTATCACTTCTATTCCCGAAGATAAACTAATATTCAAAGAAGGAAAAACAAACGATCTTGGATTTATTCTTAAGAAACATACGCAGCTTACCGATGCGGAGAGATACAGGAATCTAACTTTGAATGGTCCAAAAAACATGACGATTCTGGATACCGTTAGACAAAGTCGTCGTAAATTTCTCAAAAAATGGCATGACGATGACAGATTTTGGGGACGGACTAAAAGTAGGCATTGCAAATTAGGCACTTTTTTGGGCACTTTGGAAAAAAAGTAAAAAGGGCGTAATACCTTTTAAAAACATAATTAATAAGTTAAAAATGGTCAAATTAAATGTTGAAAACGCAAATTGCAACGGGCAAACTCAATAGCAATATTTAAAACGCAGTATTAAAGGCAGTCGCACGCGCTTGGTCACCACATATGCTAGGCACATATTTAGGCACTTCGAAAAATAAATAAAATGGCATATTCACTAATAAAAGACAGAGAAATAATCATATTACCCACACTGATTAGCTTGAGTAAATATCTAAGAGATGCACTTGAGTCTAGTACTGGAATTTAGAAATAATAAATTGTTACCGGTAGGCACTTTTTTAGGCACTTACTTAGGCACATCGAAAAAAAGGTGAAATGGACGTAGTAACTCCTAGAAAGATAATGAATTAGTTCAAAATATTTAAATTAAATGTTGAACGCGAAAATTACAACAGTTAAACCCAATATTGTAATGATTTTTAAAACGTAGTACTGAAGGGAGACGCACGCGCTCTGTCACCACATATGCTAGGCACATATTTAGGCACTTCGAAAAATAAGGAAAATGGCAATTATTACTAATAAAAGACAGGGAAATAAAAATATTACCCACACTGATTAGCCTGGGTAAATATCCAATAGATGCACTTGAGTCTAGTACTGGAATTTAGAAATAATAAATTGTTACCGGTAGGCACTTTTTTAGGCACTTATTTAGGCACATCGAAAAAAAAAGGTGAAATGGGCGTAATAACTTTTAAAATGATAATTAATTAGTTAAAAATTGTGAAATAAATGTATACCACGCAAATTGCAATGGGTGAACCGAATAACAATATTTAAAACGTAGTATTAAAAGGAGTCCACACGCGCTTGGTCACCACATATGCTAGGCACATATTTAGGCACTTTGAAAAAAGAAGAAAATCGGAATTATCACCAATAAAAGACAGAGTATTAAAAATTTTACTCACACTGATTAGCCTGGGCAAATATCCAATAGATGCACTTGAGTCTAGTACTGGAATTTAGAAATAATAAATTGTTACCGGTAGGCACTTTTTTAGGCACATATTTAGGCACTTCGAAAAAAAGGTGAAATGGACGTGGTAACTCCTAGAAAGATAATGAATTAGTTCAAAATGTTTAAATTAAATGTTGAACGCAAAAATTGCAACAGTTAAACCCAATAACGATTTTTAAAACGTAGTATTGAAGGGACGCGCACGCGCTCTGTCACCGCGTATGCTAGGCACATATTTAGGCACTTCGAAAAATAAAGAAAATGGCAATTATCACTAATAAAAGACTAAGAAATAAACATATTACCCACACTGATTAGCCTGGGCAAATATCGAATGGATGCACTCGAGTCTAGTACTGGAATTTAGGAATAATGAATTGTTACCGGTATGCACTTCGAAAAAAAAGTGAAATGGACGTAGTAACTCCTTAAAAGATAATGAATTAGTTCAAAATATTTAAATTAAATGTTGAACGCGGAAATTGCAACAGGTATCCCCAATAACGATTTTTCCCGAAAATAGGACCTACCCTGAAAATAAGACCTAGCTTAGATTTTAAGAATTATATATAATATAAGCCCTCCCATTAAAGTAAGACCTAGTCAAAAACGCGAATTAATTGACCTAGTGGATAGCAAGAAATCTCTCCTACACGTTTAAATACCTAATAATCTACGTTTAACAGATATTTTCAATAAAAACGTGTTATTCATAAGTAAATTGATATCGGTTTTTATATTTTGCATATTTGAAAATATCTTAATTCTTTACTTTGTAATTTTGTTTTTGATAAATTAAAATATAAGACATCCCCCGAAAATAAGCCCTAGTGGTAATTTTAGGAAGAAATTTGAAGTAAGACACTGTCTTAATTTCGGGGGAACACGGTAAAAGGTGTCTACCGGTAACAATTTATTATTCTCCAATACTAGACTCAAGTGCATCTATTGGATATTCACCCAGTCCCAGGCTAATCATTTTGACTAATATTTTTATATTATTTTTTTTATTGGTGATTATTCCCATTTTCTTTTTCGATGTGCCCAAATATGTGCTTAGCATATGTGGTAACAGAGCGCGTGCGACCGATGACATTAAACAACATGATGCGCAACTCCGGC